TGCGTGTGTGTGTGTGTGTGTATTTGCGTACATACACACCCACCCACACATGTAACCAAGGGCCTTCCACAGCTGCGTGGTTCAAGTTTGAGAAAACTGTAGGATTACGGGGCTTGCAACTGTTATGTGCCGTAATGTGCTATGCTTTGTCATGTCTTGGGAGGTCTTCCCCGGGCATTGGTAACGGCCATCTGCAAACACCAAGCTTACATGCTACGTGACATGGGGTGTATGAGGGACGACCTGCAAAACTCAAACTCCACAAAAAAAAAAAGAGAGTCGGCAACCGAGAGGGTATCAGACGTAGAACAGCATGAAAGAGAAAAGGACAGCTTGTATTCTAATCCTTAGACCTAGTCACACCCGCGTCGATTGGTTCACTTCTGCGCCTCTTGCACAGGCGCCGCGTGGCACGAAGCCACACGACCTCTCGAGACAGATGGGATGCAGGCTTAATTATCGGGCTCAGGCCTTGCAGAACTCCTCCAGAACCCTTTTCAAAATCTAGGAGTGCGCGGTGGGGGTTGAGAGTTGCTGGTGAGGAGCAACAGACCCGATAATTGCAAGTGCACGCTGTGTTGTAGTGGGAGCTGCCCAGGCATTGAAATCTGCTCGTGGCACGACACGCTTGGCACGACTTGCAGCACAAATTCACTGGCACACGTGGAAACTGCAAGTGTGTTTGTATTTAATTTGTGGAGCTATTCAGGCATTGGAAACGATTGGAAGCTGCTAGTATGCGCTGGGTTCCAAGGAGCACAGCCCGACATGTCAACTCTGCACGTGGCACGAAGCTTTTCTCATCAATGTGCCAATATGCAAGTGCACTCTGTGCTCTTGGATTCTAGGCATGGAAACGAGAGGGAATTGCAAGTGCGCGCTGCAGTGACTTTCGGTGCCCTTCTCCGTGCACCACAACCCGACATGTTGGTGCCATACGTTGATCTTCGACCACCACCCGTCAGGGTAGGAAGCTGCTGCAAGCCCAAAATCTGCGCGGGGTGTCAAGCGTGCAGACCTTGTCTCCGATCTGCCCAGGCTGAAATGGGAACCCACCCACAGCCTCAAGCTCAACCACAAAGATTCCCTTGGGACACCCATATGCCTGCCGGTGCGAGACGAAAGGCGCGATTACTGCTGCTATTGCTACTTGCCTGTTATGAGCTGAAAATGAGCTTGTAAACGCAATCCCCATGTACACACGCAGGTGCGAGACGACTTTTGAGAAAACACATCAAAGATGATTGCGCTAGGGGTTGGTAGCGTGACGATCGGTTCTTGTTGGGTCTTGCATGTCGCCAGAAAACTGGCTCCGGAGTTTTACTTCGATATCCCCATGTGTTTGCCGGTTCGAGACGACTTCCAGCTAATTGCCTCATGAGCCTTTATGCAGTATCCGCCGGCACGAAGCGACTTTTGAGAAAGCACATCAAGGCACGTTCGTGCTAGGGCATGGAAGCCTGACAACGGGTTCCTAGTTGTTGGTTCTGCATGTCCCCAGACAATTGGCTCCTGGGCTTGAATTAAATGGAAATCCCATGTGCTTGCGGGTGCGCGGCGACTTCCAGGTATACTTGCCTTCTGAGCTTTTGCGTGGAACCACGCACACTCACGCACGAGACGGGTTTGCGTTAAATGGCGGGTCGATACGAACTGGGCCGGTCTCGCAAGGACCCCAAATGTGGGCCGGCCCTGCACCGAGCCCTTGTCGTACAGGGGATAGGGCGGTAGATCTCGGAAGCATTTTTGAAGGGAGGCCCGGCCCTTTTGTGGTAGGCATGATCACCTTGGCCTTGGTCGCCCTGCAACCACCCTATCAGACCCCTGTGTGTCAACAAATTTGACCACTGCAATGCAGCATCTCTCAGGACTCCAACTCTGAGACTTTGCAGGTTCTGGCCATGAGGGCTGATTCACGAAAAGACGACGGAGTACCCATATCAGGGCCACCTGTCCCCCGACAGGACGAGAAATTGTGACGAACCGAGCAGTTGAGAGCACGCAGCTAGTCCATTTCAAAAGCTTCCACGGGCCTCCAAAAAACCCTAAACCCTAAACCCTCAACCCCGGCCCCGGTCCCAGCTAGAGTGTTTTTCAATTTGCATCTGAGTCGTGGAGAACCAGTTGTGATGTTTGCGGTATGTGCTGTGCTTTTGTTCCCGGCCTCCTCCACAACATCCCCCAAAGTCGCAGCGTTGGCAGGGAAGCTGGGGTCGGCGAATAGCCCAGACCACCTGCAGGCGCTTGGGCTTTAAAGCTTTAGAGGCTTCTGGTTCATGTCGATACAGTTCAGCGTTCAGGGTGTGGTCGTTTGGGTTTTGTGGGGCTAGCGGTTGATAGGGTTCAGGGTGTATGGGTGTTGTAGTCTGGCTCAGGGGTTCCAATGCCCATAGCCCCACTCTTTAGCAAACAGCAAATCTCTCCTTGGCCTCGTGCGGAGGACGGCTCCTGCCTCTTCTGCTGCAGCCGGAAATAGACCCAGCAAAAACGGGTCCTTTCAACCTGTATAACCTGCAGCCCTTTGGAAACGAGACCTCTGGATCCCACTACAAACTACAACCTCCAATCTGTTCAAGTCGGCTTGGGTCAGGATCTGCAGCCGGGATTGCACCCGAAGTGCTGAACGTGACCGGCGGTTAGGCAAGGAGAAGAAGAAGCTCCTACTTCTGTGCACCCGGTGGGTTGTTATTGTCGTTTGTTGTAGCTGCAGTAATTAGAGCTACCACGACTAGTATTGAAACGCTTGTGATTAAGATGAATGGTGTGGAGTTGGACAAGCCTTCAGCTTCAAGCGGAATGCAGTCACACCTACACTATGCGGCTTTGGAACTGGCACCCAGAGAGCCCCATAGACCTTTATAAAATAAAGCATAAAGAGGGATCCTTGTGACATAGCATGAGATAAACTAGATCTCTTACTTCAGGAGCATGCCTCCCGCAGCAACGGATGGAATAAACTCCTGAGCTGTACGAATGGAACAAGTTGGAGTCCGGTGGGGCAATGTAGAGAACTGAGTTTTAGCCATCAGGGATTGGCGCTTGCATGGTGATTGGGGTTTCTAGACTCCAGTGGTTAGGCTTGGAAGAAAAGACCCAGCAGCAGAGGTTTAGGTTTCCGCTCTCAGGGTTTGGGCCTCGTGGGGCGGGGATCCCAGAAACTGCTAAGGCCCTAAACCCAAACGATCCAACCACGCATCGGAACGCGCTCAAACCTCTGAACCCTTGACGAGAGCAGCAAAGTTGTCGGCAGGCGCAGAAATTCAGGGCGGCCGTATGTTCTTCAAGCGGGTTTTGTCGAGGTTGTTGTAAACATGCCCACTCAGCCTGTTCGTCACAGACACCTGCAAGTTCGCTGCATGGCTGATTCTGCTGCCAGGTGTAGCACTTTAGCAAGTTTTGCGCCGTCAATTTGCCCATTCGGCAACACCGCGCAGTATGATCTTGCATCTTCTGAAAACAAAGCTTCATCAGCATGGATCATATAACATGGATGCTCGTTGGGGCATGCACAATGCTCTGGCCTGATACTATCATGCTTAGGCTTAGGATGCTCTGGTTTTTGAACGGACCATGGACGTTTTCATGCTTGGGCAAAGAATGCTCTTGCATCAAAACGAACTTTGTCATGTTTCGGCAGTGGATGCCCTGGCACCCAAACGGATTAGACCAAAAGACTGTCTTGGTTTGGGCCATGGATATCCGGCCTCCAAGCGTATCGGACCATGGACGTTATCACTGGTGGGCCATGGATACTCTGGCCACAAGGCGGATTAGACCACAGACCTTATCTTGGTTGGGATAAAACCTGTTCCGTAAATCCTAGATGATTCAGAATAATAGCACCCCAACGCCCTAAACCCTGTAATTCCGATAAGCTTGAAAGGAGCTCTAGTGACCCCTTTTGGAGTGAATACCGCCTCGGTGGCATGTCTTACTTCATTTATGAGCCTAGCTTCGGGCCTTTGTGTGTACTTTTCTAAATCATCTACATTTCTACAGCGGTTCTTAATGAAGGCACCGTCGTGCTGTTAAGTTCGCACTGCCCAGGCTCCATCTTTAAACATCTAGCCCGGCACTGCGAAGCTCAGGGGCTTAGGACATCATCCATTTGCATCTGTTTAGGTGTGCCAAGATCTCTAGATACTATACCCTCTGTGCGCGGAACGGACTGCTGTTATTCAACACAACAAATGTGGTTTGCATTGTAGAATGTCATGATACAATGCTGGTCCTGACTCTCAACAGTTCTGTGTTGCAACCTGCCCAATCGACGCGGCGTACTTCGGAGATACTGGCAAACGCAGAACTAGTGTCAACATCCAGACAATCGTAACTATCGAATGATTTTTGGTCACCTGAATGCTCGCACATATTTTTTATTTTGCATAATTACAGACAGTTGCATAAGGAAGACCACGCCCTAAGGCCCTAATCAAACCTCTGGAAACACGCTGTCCGCTCGGGCTCCGTGTTCTGTGCTCAGGGCCGGGTTCACGCCGAGTCGCTCAAACACCCGCAGCAATAGATGGCACAGCTCCAGAACGTCAGCACGCCTTAGACGGCAACTGGATGGGAAAGGAAGGGATGTACACCAGCGTTGGGGGACACTGCCCAACACTGGAATTCACCAATATCCTCACCCCATGAAGCATACACTCTGCCTGCACCAGACACTGAACATGCAACGAAACCAGTGTTTCACCAAGTAGCTGAAAAGTTGACATAACAACACCCATCATGCTTGCTATCATAGAGAACAGCATCTGATTACCTTTAACACCCTTCGGTTCGTGCTTTTTCCCAGCAGCAGCCCTTCATCTGCAAACACAGCAACACCAAATCACTAACAGCACCGCCATCTTAGCACCGAGCATTCGTCGAATAATTCTAGAATGTCGGGCTGCTACCCGAGCGTGATTCTCTGTCGCTCTCTCTCTCTCTCTCTCTCTCTTTCCCCCTCCCTCCCTCTCAGCTAGCACATTCCTCGCTCCATGTCTGGAATTCCCTTCGGTGCCCATCACCACATTTACTCCCGTCACGGGAAGAATCGGAACCACGCCTTGAATCTATAACCAGCTCCCTAGAAAGTTGCTCGGTCCGTTTTCATCCAATGCATGCATGCAGTGGCATGCAGGACTGGCCTCGAAACCGTAACCTTTGATCGACAGGGCGATGCAGGGAATTCAGAACTGGAACAAAATTCAGCATCCGATCACAACTGGCCATGTTCTACCATGTTTGTCTAGAAGCGCAGGCCACACGAACTCTCGAACGAATACTTAACCCCCCGCCCCCCAATTCCTCAGTGCTTAATCATATAGTGAAGGCATGTGTGCGAGTCTCCGGAATCATTGATGGCAGCAATGCTTCATTCAATTGCTGTCAATATACTGGCCCACGCCATTGGAACATGGCTTCGACAAAAAACACCTGACACGACCTGTGCGGAAATTGAAGGGAATTGTGTTCCTGTGTTGGAAGCTTCAGGATTCAGCCATGAAGTGTCTGAGGGCAATTTTTTGAACTTGCGGGACAACCCGAGCACCCAACTTAACCTCAAACCCATAACCGCCACAACCCCGAACCCAAAACCTACCACAGCCCAAAGAGCTGAAGAGCTCTTCCAAGCCAGGCTGCACGGTGCGAAGACACAGTTCCACAAGCAGCATGCCTTGCCGTACCTCACTTTGGGGTTTTTAAGCCAAGGGTACCTTCTGGGGGCCGCTTATGTAAACGTCCATGCTACTTCCAGTAACACGACAGTTCTTCAGTCTTCTGCTCGAAGAGGTAAATTCGCTGACGGGCGAGGCCCGTGTGGCAGGCGGCCAAGGGGGGTTCGCATCTCCCGCTGTACATGTCAGTCTCGCGCCGGGAACATTTGCCGGGAAGGCGGTAGTCAGGACTCTACTAGTGTAGACCCCGAACAGTGTGTGTCAGATCTCACAGCGCAGCAGGGCTTTGCAGCTTCATCCCGCCACAAACGAACCATAATTCGGAAAAATCGCAACCGACGCGGCAGCTCGTCAAATTCTTGAGCGTCTAACCCTCAGCCGAAGGCCCTTGCAAACAAACGAAGCCTGAAGCAAACGTAGAGTCAGTTTGTAGACCCCGTCACAGCAGTATCGCACGATGAAAACGGCTCCTAGATTTCAGCGTGCGCAGGTTCGGGCTGTAGGTTGGTCATCGCGACGCTACCCGTGAGCTTCGAACAGCACAGAACCGAACGCGCCGCTACCCCGTGTATGCACACAACCAAACATAAAGAAACTGCACCAATGATCCTGAACCCGCAGAGCCGTGAAGTATCCAAGAGGCAGCAAGTCCGTCCAGCAACACAGAGTCGTCCTCATCTAGTGGTGCTGGCGAGCCCAAAAGAATCGAGCTTCTTACCCCGTAGCTTAACCCCTACAGCTACATTACGATTTAAGGCTTTGGGCTTTAGTGTTGCGGCCGCTCGTTTCAAGTCGAGCGGCTTTCAGTGCGAATCTGAGTGTTCAAGGATTCTCGGGCTAATTCGGGTTTAAGGACTTGTACGATTCACAGTACAGTGTAGGATTCGCTGCAGGTTTCGGGGCAGCGTCTTAGGAGACTTCGGCCGTGACTAAGCTTCGCGAAACTCGAATCCGAATTGAAGACTGAAGCCTCGTGGCCCTAAGCATTCATGGTCAAATCTTGGGTTCATAGTTCGGAGTGCCGGATCGGATAAAGTTTGGCGATTAAGGGTATCCAGGTATCCATGAACTCAGGTCTTGTTTGTGGTGATCCAGCGTTATGGGCGAGGCAGCACCCCAAATCCTGAACTCTAGACGCTAAAAAGAGGGTGACCCGAAAAAGGAGCTACGTTGGATAGTATCCGTACATGGCGCCCTGAACTGCAGGTTTAAGATTTGGGGCTTGAGGTTTGGGTTTACAGTGGGGATTACGGTTCAGGTTTGTGGTCTGATTTGTGGTCATAGTAGGCTTTATACAGGGTACTTTATTAAGTTCCCCGCAGGAGCGTGTTTGGGTAGGTTTGGTTTCAGTGCACGCTCGTCTTCCAGACGCCCCAAATGAGTAGGATCCTTTTTGAACCGTTCAATTACCAGGAGGTCTTTGATCCTCGACAGAACCCCCAAAGGACCCTCCTTGCTCATCCCAGCCACAGCACCCTAGAGGTCATCTTGCACCCTCTGTGGCCGAGTTTCCGAGCACAGGAGGGCATCTAGCTCCCATGCTGCGTCGAAGTGGCTGCTGCTTAAGATTGGAATGCAGATCATGGGGTGTAGGGCTCATGGACTGGGTTTAGGGTCAGACTGAGGGACTTCAGGCCTACGGCTTGGGGTGATGGACGTGACGATTCTTGCAGGCCTACAACATTGCAGTTAAAGGCCGCAACTGGGGAGGTGCTAGGACGTAGTGGCTTTGGGGATATCAGGGTGTTGGGTGGGTCCGCGGTATTAGCCGACCGTCTTCACCGAGCGATGCGACAGCACCATGCACCAAGAACAATAAAGCCTGATCGCTAAACCCTGCCACCATGTATCCTTACCGTGGCACCTGACATGGCCTTCTGGCCTTGAGCTGTCACGGGAGAACTTGCTTAAGGTTTGGGGTTTAGGGTTCTGGGTAAGAAGGGGCGACTTTTGAGGCCCAAGGCATCGGCTCTGGGGTGTTGGGCTCCTCTTAGGGCCTCAGTAGGAAACGGTTGAAGCTTCAACTACTGCTTTATACAAGGCGTATGGAGCAGCGCAGGATTTCTGTCTACTCATTGCTTGTGGTCTGGAGTTGGTCGAAGTTTGTCCTGAATCCCGAAAACCCTGTAATCCGGAGGCTCGGGAGTTTCAGCTAGATCTAAAGTATGTTCTTGAATTTCAAAACACCCCAAGCACTCCGGGACTCTGAATCCGCAACCCCTCCCCCGAACACTTTCGGTCGAACCAAACGTTTTTTCCTTCCTCGGAACCCGTCAACCCAAAGACAGGGCTTGGGGTGACTTTGGGACCCAGCGCTTGTTTTTGCAGTCCTTTCAGAAACCTCGTAAACGGACATGATGTCTTGATGCTTGTCTTCGGATTCCTGCCAGAAATGACAAACTGCAGAGAGATTCTCTAATCCGAATAGCCCAAAGCTCCAACAAGCACCTCAACCATCAACAAACTGAACAAACGCAACAGCCCAAACACCCTTCGACAACTGTCAAGCCTGAAAAAGCCCCTAAACAGTCCTAGCATTTATATACTTGTGCCATAACTATATTAACTGCCCAAAGGACTACAATTGAAACCCTAAACCGTCGAAACCCTATGCCATATGCGCTGAAAACCTTAACACCCCAAAACTTTTACTAAAAGAACCTAAACACAAAATAGACGCCCAGCTAGACTACGCCCTTCCGCTGAGAGCCAGGGCTGTGCCGCAACTTCCCGGGCGGCTTGACCAGGCCTCGGATCTACGAAGCAGTCGGGGCTCCTATGTCCATACTTCTGGATACTGGTGCTTGTACTACAAGTATATCTTCAATTGCTATCATGCCTCTTCGCTTCCATATCTGCTCAAAACGACTCTCCAGGATTTAGGATCTTTGCGGCTAGGGGTTTTGAGGGGATTCGGGCTCCAGATCTTTAAGGTTCGGGGTTTTGATTAAAGGCCAACTATAGTATACTTAGAGTGTAATATGTTTGTTATTGCTTTTGGGGAGCTTTGGGGTTCAGGCGTGGCGGTGTCTGTTTAAGGATACTTCGAGGTGTTACGTGTTTGGGTTGGAGGCCTCGGGGTTTCAGTTGGGTCTCAGGCTCATCGGCAGAACGGTCCAGCGATTCGGGCGTTCGTTTTGGTGTCGCTGTATGAGGGTGCTCCTTGCTGCTGTCATCTGCTGTCACAGCCTAAAGCTAGGGCTTTCAGCTCTGAGTAAGCTTTGGCGCAATAGGTTTCGTTCTTCGGCGGTCACCTTTGCATCCTTCTGGCAAATGCAAGCTTCGGGTCAGTCACTGGCAGTTGCCCATCAAACTGTTCAACTAAAACAAAGCTGCAACTACAGAGTACCCGTTGTAAACAACAAAATCAATTAATGCAGTTCGAGCATTCCACTCATGAGTGTGAACAAATAAGCAAAATCAGTCCATCCAACACATATCCGCCGTAACGTGGGCTGCCTCTTCCGCAAAAATGTGCAGCAAAGCCACCCCAGCAACACAACCCAACATCACTCAAAGGATATAGGTTCAGGGTTGAGCATGGGGTTACTACCTTAGACCTGGAGCCCTAAGCCTTTGCTTGCACAAAATCTTCCAACTCTGCAGCCACATAGGAACCTGAAGGTCCAAGGACCTGTGTCTCTGAATCCCAAACCCGGGGAACAGAACAGCTACATAAATTGCCGTTATTCTTGGACTGTTACGGTGGCTCAAACGTTGAACGCAGCACGTTTCAGGACTCGGGTGTTTTTATTTCGCCGGACGCTCTATTTTCATTGGGGAGCAATCGTCGCTCAAAAGCTGTAATGTCAGATGCACAACCTTCGTGTTACGTCCCCTGAGGAATAAGAACTCATTCCCGAGCAAGTCTGCGAACGACTGAGCATAGCTCTTCTTTCGAGGCTGGCCTCAGGCAGAGGGAAATGTCAAAGTCTTCTTGTGCAAGCGCCTGCTATATTCCAGTGTGATTTGGGATATTGGTGGGTTTCCCTGTTGCTATACGAATTCCAGTGGGCTTACTATGCTTCCAACTGCTCCCCAATAAGGGGTCTGACTTGGTCGCTTCCAGGAGTCAACACAGACCATTCTGGCCCCAAGCATCCAAGTGCGCAAACTGAGGGTCAATTGTCCAGGTCCGCCCCAATCCATGGCATGTCAAATGATAGCAGGACCCGACGAAGTTCCAACCGCACGCAATAAGATTATCTTCGTGGAATGGCAGATCCCGCAAACTTTCGGGGAGGGTAGGCGATTCAGTACTTAGTGGAACTGCTCCTTGGTAATGTCTTTATGAGGCAGGGGATTACGTTTGGGATATGGTGAATGTGTGCATCGGAATTAGTATTGACTATAGTATCACAGTATGACAGTTATGTCACTCTTAGACTCTACCCGTAAACTTGAAACAGGACACGACAGCTTCAGAATCTAAGTGACTCTGTCACAAACCACCACCACCAGCCCCACTCTGACACTCTGAAGCTTGACGCATACTGAAAGCTCCTGAACCCGATGAAAGCTCATCCCCCTAAAGCAGGGTGTCTCAATTGGAGATTGTGCGCCTCAGATGTACGGTTTAGGCCGTGTAGGCTACGCGAGCAACGTGTATACCAATGTTGAGCTTATGTAGGGTCTTGGGTTAAATAGGCTTTGGAGCTTAGGGTCATCATCGTCATTCGAATTACCACCACCATCGTCAATCACTATGATGACTACTATTACCGTCCTCAACATCATCGTCCTTGCGTCGTCAACATCACCAAGACATACTATCAGCACCACCTGTATCCCAACCACCAGCGGGCGCTGTTTCTCAGGCAAAGCTATGCTGCTGTGCCTGGTGGGTTGTCCTTCGCTCCCCTGCAGCCGTAGCGCTCCGCGTTTGTCTCCCTCTGTTTACATGCTAAATCCGAACCTTAAGCTTCTCCGGACTCCCGACCACAAAAGCCTAAACAGGAAGCTTGTGCCCGGCTCTCGCAGCCGTAGCTGGAACCTTTTGGGTATTGGGTTGCCCTGTCGGTCCCAACTCGCATGTTTCTGAATCTTCGGAGAAGCCTCAGTTACGCCTTAAGCCTTAAGCCCTATACACGGCGAGTCCTCGAGCAAACTCCACCGGCAAAAGCTTTAGACTCAGATCAGGGCTTACAGCTGGACTTGGGGTTGAGGCTTCCAGGCAACCCTGAACCCTGGGACCCTAAACCCTCAAACGCAGAACCTAAAGTGACGGCGCGAGGCCACGGCGTGAGCCCTGTCATGGAGAGGCCGATACCTTCAGCGCTTCAAAACAGCATTTTGAAGTCTTCGGAGGACAGAACTGCACAGTGGCATCCACACTGGTAGCCCAATCAGGGCTGGGTGGTACATAAACCATATTACTAAGTATCTGATTGAATCGAGCGATACTGTGTCCGAAGAAAATACTTTAAGCCTGATCGAGTGGTTGCGAGGCCCCGGCTGACGCGAGTGCCAGTTTGTCCTGGCAAGAACACACGAAACTCGAAACCCTGAAACCCAATGCGCAGAAAATCCCAAGCCCCCAACAAAGACACTTGTGTTCAAACGGAACTTACCGAACGCTGAATCCCAAAGTTCAAACCTTCGACATGCGAGCCGACTGATTCCTCCAAAGCCGGAGCTTAATCGACTGAATAGATATTGATCCAGGTGTCATGCTGATTTCGGGGCTCTGGCAAAGGAGCCTCGTGCCGAAGCACGACAGCCCCAAGCCTCAACCCTTCTGTCGAAGAGGATGAAATGTTACAGCAGCGGATGGACCTGAAAATACTGAAATACTGCACCTCAATATAGCGTTTCCGCAAGCACCGCATACGGATCTTTAGAGGCTCCAAAAGTCCTAAATGCCAAGGCTGCAGACCCGACATCAGCTCCTTCGATATCAATGGAAGCTTTGTAGTCCTAAATTAGGGCTAGATAGTGTCGAACACAACTAGTTCAGGGCGGATTAACGAAAAACCTCAGCTCGGTCTAAGTCGAGGTCGCGAGATGCGAACACAAAAGCACAACCATGATGCGTGAAGCGTATTAACATGCGTGGGTTTCGAAACTGGATGATTTCAGGAATGGTCGCAAGTGGCTGGAAACACATGTGCCTGCCTGGTGCCTGCTTATGGCTTGCTGCCTATGGACATAAGCCCAACTCTAACGGATTCGAGATACCCCGGAACCATGCCCCAGCACATTGAGCGAAGATCTCACCAGCCGGAAACCCGACGAGCCTTACGTCGTAAGAGCTCTATTCATTTAATGGCGAAGGACCAATGCCGACCCCACTCCCCAAAGATATGAATCACACCAGAAACGATGCTACCAAATCCCCATACACCCTGGACCTTAACTAATGCACCCATAACCCCCGTTTTGCTGGCAGACCTGAGGGTACTCCGAGATCGCAATCGTCCGTGGTGTAACGCCTGCGTCCGGGGGAACTTGAGTGGAGTGTGGGCAGTGTGGGGATCGATGCTTGTAGGCTCATACTTCGGGTTCAGGGTGGAAGGCGACTGGGCCAAGGCTTCAGGGTTCAGGGTAGAGGACGTGGAGAAGGGTATAGCTCTTCGGGTCCTGCT